ATTTTCAGAAATGCCGTTTTCACGTATCGCCGTTTAATTTCCGTAAAAATGAAAATTATCTTTTGTGTGACAAGAAAAATCCAATTACTTAATTAAAATAATTCAATTCACCAAAAATTAAAATGTTCTTACTTTACAAAATTTGCAATCAATTTGCAGAATGTGATACCACTTTGGAAAGAAGTGGAGTACTACAAAGACTACCAAACCAAACTAAAATCCTACGTCGGCGACTCGAAAGCCAAGTCGATAATCAACGAAGCTCTCTACCTAATAAGCTTAGGCACGAACGACTTCCTCGAGAACTACTACACCATCCCAAGCACGCGATCCAAGTACACGATCGATCAATTCCAAGACTTTCTTATCGGGCTCGTCGAGAATTTCGTGAAGGAAATATACGGGCTCGGGGCCCGCAAGATATCTCTAACGGGCCTCCCTCCGATGGGGTGCCTCCCGTTGGAACGGAGCACGAATTTCTTCAACGGGAATGGCGACGGATGCATGGATGGGTACAACGTCGTCGCGTTGCACTTTAATGGGAAATTGAGTGGATTGGTTGAGAAGATGAATAAGGAGATGAAAGGGATTAGGGTTGTTTTCTCAAACCCTTATGGTGTTTTCATGCAGATCATTAAGAAGCCTTCTAGTTTTGGTAAGTCAATTACTTTTATTTTCTTGCATTTTTTTTTGTGTTTCGACGTCGGGGGTAAAATGGTCATTTAAGTCGTGCTAGGCGAGTGAACGTGTGTAAAAGATACACGTCTATGGTTAAGTAAGTATCATTCGGCTTATTTGATATTTTAACGGGATCGAAAAATACATTTTCCGTTCCTCAAGTTTACCACAATTTCATATTGGTCCCTATAGTACTTTACAAAAAACAGATTTAGTCCCTCATGTTTCAACAATTTAACGTTTTAGGTCATTTTTCATCAATTTATCGTTAGTCCGTAAGTTAATACAGCGATGGACACATGCTTGATTCCGTTAGTACTAACGGAAAATTGACATAAATGACCAAAAAATTTAAATTATTGAAACATGTCGGTCTAAATCTATTTTTTTCTGCACAAGAGGGACCAAATGTGAAATTGATGTAAACTTGTGGAGCAAAAAGTGTATTTTTTTCCCAAACGGTAAACCGAGTAAAAGGGTTTGATTCGAGTAATGTTTAATTTTTTTTTTTTTTTTTTTAATTAATATTAACTGAAATATTATATATATATATATATATATATATATATATATATATATATATATATATATATATATATATATATATAGATAATATAAAATAAATTAATGACAGGATTTGAAGTGGCATCAGTGGCATGTTGTGCATCAGGAATGTTTGAGATGGGGTACTTGTGTGATGTGTTGAATCCATTTACTTGTTCAGATGCAAGTAAATATGTTTTCTGGGATTCTTTTCATCCAACTCAGAAAACTAGTCAGATTATTTCTGACTACTTCATGAAGCATAGTTTGCACGAATTCTTGTGAATACTATATTATTTTTACATATATTTTCAAGAATAATTTTGTACTTTTATTTTAGCGCGTATATTCGGTTTTTTTTTTCTTTTTTCGGGTGATTATTTGGAAGATATGTTCGATTGTAAGTGGTTGATGGTGCTCGTGTGATTTACGAATTATTACTTGTATTTTTTTCGGTTTCAATTTCGGTTTCGGTTCAATTTCAGTTTGAGGTTTTTTCGAGTTTCAGTTTCGGATCAGTTTCAGTTACGATTTCGGTTCGGTTCGGTTCAGTTTCAGTTTCGATTTCAATTTCAGTTGGGAATTTTCTAAAATTTTATGGTTATAATCTTAGTAAAAACAAGTTAAAGTGTGGCTAATGTATTTCTTAAATAAGGGCAAATTGCAGTTGTCCTCCTGAAATAAGATAATATTACGAAAAAAACTCTTCTTGTTTGGGTAATTACAACCACACCTCAATTATGTACTGTCTTACCAAAACCGCCCTCCTACAATAGGCGAATTTGACACTGTAAGGATGAACGTATAAGACAATACATAATTGAGGGATATAATAGTAATTAGGGTAAATAGCACTTAACCCCCTTGTGGTTTGGACATTTTGCACATGACCCCCTTATGGTATGAATTTAAAAGCACATAATCCCCTTGTGGTTTTGACATTTTGCACATGACCCCATTATGGTATGAAATTAGGCACATAACCCCTTGTGATTTTGAAATTTTGCACATAACCCCCTTATGGTATGAAATTAGCACATAACCCTCTTGAATAGAAAACTGGAAAAGACTTAATTACCCCTATCAAGTAAAAAATTCTTGTTTTAATTTAAAAATAATTATTCTATAAAATGAAAAGCTTAATGTACTTTTTTGTAAAATGAGAAATATAATATATTATTGTATTTTTTTTTTAATTTTACAGCATAAAAGGTATAAAATACTAATTATTGCACGATTGACAATTTATTCGATTTTAAAAATTAATTTGAAAATCC